GACCTCGTTGTCGCAACTTGGTCTTGTTGTCAGGGCAACTTAGTAGAACGCACCTAGTCCGAAGTCGTCGTCCTCGAAAGGAGACTGCGACCATACCAGAGGACACATCTTAGTCTTCATATCTTCACTGTTCTCTTAGTTGGCAGACACTTGCACTTTCTAGTGCCCATTCTGTTATAGCTACACCGAGATAAGTATATATGAGAAATATGAGACGTACCCACCCTATAGCGTTTAAGGAGATGAAGGACTGATTGTAGAATTTTCCCACAATGATATGAGTAGAGCTGACATTTCCATTTTATTTCACATGTGACCTAACGGCACTCGTGGCAATGTGACCGAGTGGTTAACGTGTCAAGCTCACATTCTGCACTGTCATGGTTCGGCTCACGCTGGCACCTACGCGAGGTCGAAACTGCAGTTTAGCATGGATGAGGACAATTCAATGGAAACGTCAGTTCTACTCATATCATTGTGGGAAAGTTCGACTATCAGTCCTTCATCAACATAAACGAAATAGGGTGAATATATCTCAGATAAGTGATTTACTGGCAATCTCGAAACTCTACTTATATACCAAAAATATACATATTAGGTCTGCTTGAGAACTCTTGGAACTCCTCAAGGCTAATTTGTGAATCCTGTCCATAGGCCATACTCCGGAACCTAGATCGGCACGCAAACTTTATGCAGGAACGAAGATAGGAAGATCAAACTGTTGCCTTTTGTTGCAGACTGTGTTGGCCGTGTTCGGTAGATGTACCAACGGCACCGAATTGTCATGAGTACAAGAATAAAGAATTCAAGTCAAAAAGAATTCACTGAGGTCGTCCTGACAACACAACCAAGTAGCGAAAACACGGTAAAATAAATTTGCCCTAGATATTGGTAGCTTAACAAATATATATCAAGGCCTCAAGATTCAATCAAGTTGTGAAAATAGCTGCTGTTATTGGGTCTGGGTGGAAAAGTGTAAAGAAGTGGTTGTTTGACCTTGTTTTCGCAAATTGGTGATATTGGTAGGAAGACCCATAGGAACGCACCTTGTCCTGAGTCCATTGTATGCATAATTATTTCCAAAAGTTGTAATATGGTGCTATGAATGGCGAGACCCACTGACGATGCCGACTACCATGCCCTTGCTCAGTGGTCGTCCAAGCTGACAACCCAAAAACTCCTTCGTTCGGCTAGGTCAGGAAGTGTGGACCTCTTAGATCTACTACCAAAATCAACAACTTTTCATATACAATTGGGTCTGCGAGTAGATGTATTCAGGCTATTTCGTTTTTTTGTGATGACCGACTAGAAATTAAATTTTCCCACAATTATATAGGCAGATATTACGTTTCCAATGGATTCTACGTAACCCCGCTTTCCGACAGGTATTACCATGCTGGAAGAGTGGATGCAGTTTTGACTATGCCTATGTCTCATCAGCACCCCCAAGTGGTACTCGAATTACAATAGTGCAGCGCATACTCTCGTCACGCTAACCCATATGCCACATTTCCTCGAGTCTGCTTGGGTCACAGAGCAGACTTGAATTTAAAGAAAGGCCAAGCGTTTTTCCATATTACACTCTCTAGTGGGGGTGTCGATGAAGCAAAGTTTTGTATGCTACAGCAATCGACAACATCATTTATTCCTTGTTTATAAGCTGGTTTTTAGGTCTGTCACTAGATCGTAATTGAGTAGTTGACCTGCCGAAATTATATGCTACAATAGCAGGGTTCGAGTCCCACTTGGGTTGCTGATGAGACCTAGTCAAGGTCGAAACTGCAGTCCACTTCTCCAGGATGGTAAAACCTTTAGAGAAACAAGGCTATGCGAAATGCACTGGAAACGTAATACCTGCTCGAATAATTGTGGGAAAACTTAACTACTAGACTTTCATCATTTAAAACGAAATAGGCTGAAAACATCTCATAAAATTGCCTGGACTCCCAAGAAGGGGATTGAGCAAATAATTTTATACTTACCCACATATATTTTCAGTTATCCTATAGTCATGAGTTGTAAAGATGCCCTTAAAACAGCATGAAAGACCAAATGTCGCATAGAATGATTCGACCAAAACTTCATGGTAGTATGGGCGACCACAGAGCAAACTGGATCACGTTGAAACACCTTTCTTTTCGTTTGAGGAGGCGAGTGGCTCCACCGGAGGGAGCAGGGGGATTGTTGCCTTGGAGTTGTGACTGTATACATCTGTGCGAATAGGTTCTCTGTACACCGGTCTGCAACTCCAATGAATCTTTACAGAACTTTCGTTCGTCATGTGACGGATGTCCTCAAACCAGGACACCATGCCTTACGATAATTCACCAAAACACGAAGACAAGAAAGGTGACAGCATGAAGCCTACCTATTTTTATGGTACAACTTGGTCCACTTAGTGAAGCACCTCATGATTTGGTTGGATATCCTATGCTTTGCCTAAATGCCTGCAGCTGCAGGTGAGGTCAATTTACGAATCCCTTCCACTTGCCATCTCAAACGAAAGTAAACTCCAACATCAATCTATCAAGGGAGTTCTCGAAAGCCAGTTTTTCTACATACCAACGTGGATCAGTTATCGTCTTCTGGTGAGATCGACTCACGAACGGCTTCGTGGGGCGCCTTCACGCGAAATGAAAGTTTGCACAATTTGAGAAAAAAGATCCTCAAGTGCACTTGGCGAAAAAACTAGCTGGCCCGGTCTGTCAGTCCCATAGTTGGGGTGCAATTCAGCTGGTTGTATTCGATAAAAGAAGACCAAAATGACCAATAAAACCCTGGCTTCAGTCAAGCATATTATAGGTATATTACTATTAAAAAATTATTTATCTACCTTGACAATCCCGTGCGGATACCAAATGGAGGGGATCTCTCTGTGCTTGGGACAATCGTGACATTTCTGAGTAGACAACTTAAAGTGGAGCTGGAAATTGGTTGGAGTTAGATAGAGCTGAAAGTCGACAGATCCCTTCTCCGAAGTCCATTCTCTTTGATGATCCTGAGATGTTAAAAAGGTAGAATAGTGACGTTTGTAGCGGGTTATATGAAGGCACATGGGCAACATGACATCATAAAAGCCGCTTTCAAAGCATAACTCGGAAAGACGGCTTACAAAAAATGGACGAACAAGGCTAGTCCGACGAAAAAAGACGGTCATTTACATGAGTTTTTGCCATCTAAACTATCTTTCTCTAAATCATATTGTGTGTGTGTGTGTCTGTGTGCATGGGCTAGACAATGGGATTATTTACATTGGGGATAAATATCATGAAAATGCATCGAGGTGTATCGCTTACCTCACAAAAGAAAAACACTTTCTCATACATGGTCGTCTGCCAGATGAGGGTGTGTAGGGGTTTAGTCATTTCAGTTGAGGGGATGAGGATCCACGGCATACCAAAGAGATTGAAGAATAAATCGTTGAAAAATCCAAGCCAAAGAGTTGGTGTCCTATGAAAGATGACAAAAGAAAGATCAATACGACTGAGACCATGAAAACAGACAGTTCGGAGGTTTTTAATATAGATTGGCTGGAGTTGCAGGAACTCGTTGTCAAGGCTACAAGCGCCAAGGTTATTGCGAACAGACTCACCGCATTCTCAGATATGCGTCCACTTGACCGTCACGTTTGTGCCTCAGATCATCGATAATCCGCTGTACCGTCTCAGAGCAGCGTTTGTACTCGCCCAGGATTCCGCTTAGACCGGGCGGATCCAAGCGAACGGAGTAGCTGCCTTCCTGGCTGAGTTGGCAAGGCGGAAGTCCGGCTGGGAGGATTTGGTGCATAGCCAAGGGCGGTCGAGACGACCAGAAGAGGAGAAACAAAACAAGGCAGCAGAGGTGGCACGTGAAGGGGAGTAAGAAAAATCGCTAACTAAGCCAGTCAAGGCTTATATAGGCCGAACGACTTGACGCAAACTACTATTTTTAGACTGGCCAATCAGCACAGGCCTAACGGGATAGGATGAGAGATCTGATTGGCTAAGCTTGCCGACGTGGGCTGACGTTAATCGACGTGGTTTGACGTGGCAATGACTCATTGACGCTCTTGAACAGGCAGCTTCGTCATGTCGTCTCATGTTGAGCCGAATTAGGCGTATTCCGACTAGTCGTTGGGCTTCACATTTCGCATGAAAACGCATGCCAATCTCATCAGAAGACGACGCCCGTTGTCGTTGACGTTGTCGTTTCGCCTTCATACGACACTCAAGTTGACGCGTCCTCAAAACAGCCGCCTTAGCGAAAACGGGCTGAACTTTAGAAGAGAGTCGACCTCGTTTCCGCAAATTGGTCTTGTTGTCAGGGCGACTTAGTAGGAGGCACCTAGTCCGAAGTCATCTGCCATAGTAGTTGTCATGATTCCCAGCAGTAGATCATCGACTTGGTACATTCTCAGACTGCCATGGCAGAGGATTTCGGACAAGATGAGTTCAATTAAGTCGCCATGACAACAAGATCAAGTTGCGGAGATGAGGTCAACCCGCTGCTATAAATCAAAAGGAGACTGTGACCATACTGAGGGACACCGGCTGAACTTTAGTTCATCCTGCCACTTAACGAACATCATCAAAACTGGTATTAATTCTTGTAAAAGTGTCAAATTGACACAAAGTCAAAGAGACTGCAGTGGAATGGGGATCAGCCGTCGTCTTCTGATGAGATCGACCTACAAATCTCTTAGTCATGCCCTTTCAAAAAACATGCAAGTCTCCACAACAATGTTATCTCAAGAGAGTCATAGAAACCCATCTTTTTCTCCGTGTACTCTGATTGGGCAGAATTTGGCAGACCTGGTGCCGCTTCCACTTCTAGCCCTGTTTTATGACGTATGATGTTTGACAGACCCATCACAGACTGAAAAGACTAATTGCCAAACGAGTTGATTCACTCGTACATTTCAAGAAGATCTATGCTTGCATGAAGAGTAGCACTCAAAAAGAACAGCATAAAGTTCCAGCAACGCATGTTGACTTGATCTTGTAGTCAAGGCGACCCAGATAAACATACCCTATCCGGAGTCCTCTTTCACAGTGGTTATGCTAATTCCCAATGTTCAACCATGTACTTGGTACATTGCACGACGTTTAGCTGGCACCGCCAATGCCTTGTGCGAGTCTTAGCACCGGGATACATCTTGTTAAAGAGCCAATATTCTTTCATCTCGGTCGCCCTGACTATACGACAAAGTTGCGAAAATAAGATAAAGCCACTTCAATTGCACATCTTGGTTTTCACAGCTGTGATCACATATCAACGCTCGAAAGCAATCGGTTTGTGGGAAGGCCATTTTACCGATTCTCTCCAGTCGCCAATTCAAACGAAATGAAATGTGCAACAACATTCAGTTGTTAAGGTAGTTTTCGAAACCGAGTTTCCTTTAATATTCATCCAGCAAGTCCTACAGGGTGATGAGAACCGAATTTTCCTTTTTAAACAAAATTTGGATTCAAGCTTCTTTGGAGAGGAGGCTGGGACCTATCCTGGGACCTCTGTCAATTAGTCATAAGCTTTGTCTTCCTCCCAATGACAGACCATGAGTTACGAAATACCTACCCATAACATAGCCTCCACCACAGGCACATTGAATCACAAGTTGTCCTTTTAGTTGATGACCATGTAGAAGCACCATATAACATGGCTTTTGGGAAGCTAGTTTATTTTAAGAAATGGGTTGA